AACCATTCGGGGGCCCGGTCACTAGCCCATAAAATACTTCGCACTGGTTACTTCTGGCCTACTCTCAACCAAGATGCCACTGAATTCGTGCGTAAGTGTGATAAGTGCCAGCGCTTTGCCAACATTCCTCACACTCCTCCTACAGAACTAATCACACTTTGCAGTCCCTACCCATTTTCCAAATGAGGGATCGACTTAGTCGGTCCATTGCCCACTGGTCGTGGCCAAACCAAGTTTGCAATCGTCGCCATTGATTACTTCACTAAATGGGTGGAGGCGGAACCCCTCGCCACAATTACCGAGCGAAACACAACCAGATTCATTTGGCAGTCGATCGTATGCCGATTTGGCATCCCTCAAGCCATCATCTTCGACAACGGCAAGCAATTCGACAATGCCAAGTTCAGGAAATTCTGTGCAGAACTTCAAATCCAGCCATGTTTCTCTTCTTCAGGTCATCCCCAAGCCAATGGCCAAGTTGAGGTTACCAACCGTTCTCTTCTGAAGGTCGTCAAAACTAAGTTGGAAGTCGCTAAGGGACTCTGGGCTGAGGAATTACCAAACGTACTCTGGGCCTACCGCACTACAGCCCGAACCCCTACTAGGGAGACCCCCTTTCGCTTAACATACGGCACTGAGGCAGTCATCCCAGTGGAAATCGGCCTGCCCATCCCAAGGGTTTTACACCCAAGTCCAGAACAAACAGAAGAATTGCGTCGGGCTGACTTAGATTTGATCGAACAGCTCCGAGAGTCCTCTGCCGTTAGACGAGCCTCATATCAACAGAAAATGCGAATGCACTACAATCGCAAAGTCCGACCGAGGGACTTCGTCGTGGGAGACCTAGTTTTACGCGAAACCACTATTGCCACCAAAAATCCGGCCGAGGGCAAGCTTGCAACCAAGTGGGAAGGACCTTACGTTGTTAAGGCCAGGCCTCGATCGGGCACTTACCGACTTCAAGACATGGAAGGTCGAGACCTCCCACGCCCGTGGAACGCCGAGCACTTGAAGCGTTATTTTCAATAAAATGCCATGTCCCATCTCTATATTAATCAATTGCAGTATGTTCTTTTTTAACAATCTACACACGTGGTTGTTTTTGTCCTTTTCACACATGATGTAAATTTGTGATCGATAGGCTACGCCTTAAATGATAGCGATCTTATCTCTCAATTATCTACGTGGCATTTCAATAACACCTTGCTAAATTAAGTTACTTAAAGCCTCAGCCAGACTGAGCATGAAGGGCTCAGCCAGACTGAGTTACTTAAAGCCTCAGTCAGACTAAGCACGAAAGGCTCAGCCAGACTGAGTTACTTAAAGCCTCAGCCAGACTGAGCATGAAGAGCTCAGCCAGACTGGGTTACTTAAAGCCTCAGCCAGACTAAGCACGAAGGGCTCAACCAGACTGAGTTACTTACTTAAAGCCTCAGGCAAACTGAAGAGCTCAGCCAGATTGAGTTTCTTATAGACTCAACATGGAACACGAGCGGAGAGTTAGCGGCCATACTTATTTAAAAATCCAGAGGCCAGGTCTTCCTCCTCAATCCCCTCATCTAGGGAGGTCTGGGCCACATCATCTTCATTTATTCTCACATTGCTGAAGTCCAAGTCTGGGAATAGCTCTTCCGCTTTACGTTTAAAGGTCTTCCAGCCGCTGTCCCAGAACTCAGCCATCTCATACTTGTAGAAGTCTGACTGCTGAAAGCTCGGGATCGCTACCTCTTCGCTCCTGCTTCCAGCAGTCGCTCTCGACGGGCCAGCCCCCTATCCCCCTCTCTCGCCAAGCTGCTGGCGATGGCAGCATCAATGGCCATCTGGAAGTCGGCGGACCCCTTGAACTACTATACAGCCGTAACACATAGGTTGGCGTACGCCGCCCTCTCAGATGCCAACTTGGCCCTCTCCTTTGCCAAGGCCTTTTCTAAACCTGCCTTCTCCAACCCTGACTTGGCCCTCTCATCGGCTAGGGCCTTCTCCAACTCTGCCCTCTCAGACGCCAATTGCGCCATTTCCTTCTTCAGAGCCTTCTTTAACTTCGCAATCTGACTGTCGACCATTTCCTTGTCCTTGATCGCTTGATCCCGCAGATCCTCGTTACAGGTCATGGCCTCCTCCCACCTTTCGTTGGCAGTGGTGCAGGCTTTTTAGGCTTCCTCTAGTTTCTTCTGCTCGCCGGCCAGCTAGAACTCAAGCGATATCACCTTATGGGGCCTCGCTTCGAGCTCTAGCCTGACGGTGGCGAGCTCGGCACTAGCTCGCTCCGCCAAGTTCCTATGCACCACTGCCAACACCTCCATGACCTTCGCTTTTTATGCCATCTCAAGTCCCCTAGCACACACACTCTGCGCGGCTTTCCTCCAACCCCCAGTCTCCACCCTTACCCTTTCCAGCTGCTCCTTTGCCTCCACCAACTGGACCTTCAGTGGCTTGACCTTCCCTTTTGCACGCGCCGCCTTGCTCAACAAGGCTCCTGCCAAAGTTGTCGCCTCCATCTAGGCCGAGTAGAGCCCCCTTAGCAGTACGGCCTCTGTAAACCTCGCCATCGAGTGCACTGCTGCATCCTCTACTACACCTAAGAGCCGATCTGCAACAGTCTTGGCTTCGCTTCATTCTCCCCCCAATCGACCAGACACCGCTCGGGCATGGTATATGGTGGTCTTCAGCTTGGCCGCCCCTGCCTCTCCTTGAGGTACAGAGCCCCCCTTGGTTGATTGCTCCATCCCCTATTCGGACCCAGCCGTGCCACTCTCCACTTGGGTGCCAGGGTCTATGGCATTCCCCACCGTATCCCTTGCTTCCTCGAACTCCACCTCTGTGGTGACCTCTGCCATCCCCTCTTTCATCTTTTTCAACGTTGGCCCCTCCTCACATTTCTCTACCCTCATCTTCTTCTTCTTTTTCTTCTTCAACACAGCCTCCACCTCCTTGTTGCCTCCTTCTTTCAATGGATCCACTGGGGGCGGTAGTAGCTTAAAACTGCCAAGTCCTTTTCCCCCAGTGGCTTGGGACGCGGTCGGATTCTTTCCCTGATGATCGGTTTCGGTGGACAGCCTAACTGTGACTCTTTGTATTTATCAAGCTTGGCAAAGGCCGACCTATCCCTTCGTTTCCTGCCCAACACCTAACCTCCCCCATTACGAGATTCTACCACGTGTACGAACACGATCCACTGTCCCCCACACCCAGTCTTTTCCACTTCACATCACCGCATGCCCTGACACCCCTCGAGCCCCGCGCACCGCCATTTCTCCCTCTCACTCGGTTAACCCTCGCGGTCGGCGTCTCACTCGGCCACCCCTTGTGGTCAACCCTCCTGGTAGTCGGCGTTGCAGTCGGCCCTCTCACTCGGTCACCCCTCGCGATCGACTCTTCTAGCAGTCGGCCCTCTTCCTTGGTCACTCTTTACAGTCGGCCCTCCTGGCAGTCGGCGTCTCGCCCGGCCACCCCTCGCGGTCGGCCCTCCTGGCAATCGACATTGCAGTCGGCCCTCTCACTCGATCACCCCTCGCGGTCGACCCTCCTAGCAGTCGGCCCTCTCGCTCGGTCACCCCTCGCGATCGGCCCTCCTGGCAGTCGGCCTTCTCGCTCGATCACCCTTCGCGGTCGACTCTCTTCGCAGTCGGCCTCTCACAACCTCTGTTTTCTTCCTTATTCCCTTCGTTGGACTGAAGCTGCACTTGGGAATGAGGAACTACTGATATAGGTGGGCCTATAGAAGCGTTTGGCCCATCACTTAGAGCCCAATACATAATTCAAGCACCTAAGCCTAATAGTGCTGGAACCCAACGTCACATTAAGAACCAATGATATCCAGACAGCTATCAAGAGTAGAACCAGCCACATCGGCAGACAAAGATCCTGCAAAATTATTGCACCACACATCAGCCATTAATAAGGTTCCCTGCAGCATTTATTGCGATAACCCCTCCCCATTGGAACAGAACGGCCTCACCATGAACAAGGCAAGCTAGAACATAGACTTCCAGCCAACGTAACAGGTCGGAAGGGACAATGAAATGATTAGTAGAGGATATAAGCGGGCTTCAAAGACAAGGAAAAAGGTTAAGCTTCTCCATCACCAATCTATCTCTACGTACCATCTCTCTCTTTCTAACTTGCTCGTCGGAGGGTTCGCTGGAGGACTCCCCGTTCCCCGTTGAGCTCTTGTACAGGTCTCTCCGTGGGCATGACCTTCTTGGTTGGGGACATGATTGTTCCTTTCGCGGGCGCATTGAACTCTTCACGGGCTGCAGGGAAAAAGTTTTGGGAGGTTGTTTTGGCTGCTGCTTGCTCGCGGCCATCATTCCTGATGATCGCAGGCACAAGGTACTGTTAGCGTGCACAGAGGCAAATGCTGAGAAAATACTGGGAGCATGTTTTGATTGCGACCTGAATTGTGGCTTATCCGCGAGCGCGATGTGGGATTACACATCGCAGGCATCGCGGGCTCAATGGTCACTGTCGCGGGCGCGATGGTGAATGATGATTGAGTCGTTTCTGCAGACTTTTGCCCTGGTTTCTTTCCATCTTTTTAACCCATGCCCTGCAGTAATAATCACACAACAAACAACCACTTTTCCACCTTTTAATCAACCTTCCTTTTTGCATAAGTCGTAAATTACAACTCTGAAAAACAACATGCTGTAGCTCTACAAATCACAATTTTCAACCTACAAAACCATACAATCATCATCTCAAATCAAATATCAAATTGAGTTTTTCAAGATAGATATTTAATATAACAAATCAATAATTAATGAGTTTTGTCAAGAAAGCAATTTGCCAAAAACAAAAATTTTATCAAGAGTAAAAATCCTGACAATAAAAAAGTAAAAAAAATATAATTCTTTGAGTTGGATGGCCAACACCTAAGCATAGGGAGTATATGGAAGTGAAATGCCTGAGTTACTCATTAAGAGGTTGTTATGTGCACACAATTATGCTACCTACAAAAAATAATTTGATGAAATTCATCCAATTATCAATATCATTTTATCATATTTAGCTGATAGGCATGTTACCTATCAGGAAAACTGGTGACAACACATATGAAACAACCACATGGCAAATCAAATTTAAACTCGAAATTGTGTATCAAAGTGGAGTCTACAAGTTGCGTTTAGCACTCGCCTCTGCAATGAGTTCTGACTTAGAGGTACAATCGAAATTTTATCTATCATTTGATTTGTCACCAATGCAGTACGTTAATTGATAACTATCAAATTGAATTATTTTTTGTGTTTTTGTGTGTGGGAAAGGTTCGAATCAATGATGGACATGCAAATCCTCCACAATTTTCAAGTGGATTGATAGGGAAAGACAATGCAATTGCAAGGCACGGCATTCATGGGCTCTATTATTTGTTCAACGTGGACATACCTTGTGATCAACTAAGGCAAGGTGATAATACAATATTTTTGACACAAGCAATGAACACTAGCCCTTTCCATGGTATCATGTATGACTATATTAGGTTAGAAGGTCCTCCTCTTCCTCCATCTAGTACTACTACTACTACTACTACTTCCTCAAACAACCAAAACCACCTTTAGTTTTATTTTCTTAATTTTCATGTAATTAAGTAAACCACATGGTGGGCACATATATTGGATGTTCTTTTTCTTAATTTCAATTTGTGGATATTGTGTTATATCAATAAACATAACTAAAATAAGAAATTGCCAAGAAAAAAAAAAGAAAAGGAAAAAAGACTTGGCATTATGCTCAAAGTGTGTTCAATTAGTGGGAACAAGTAAAAGTATTTACGAAAGCATCCAGTTGCTGGGTCCAGTGCAAATGAAAACTATGACGTCGCTTGCACTAAAGTACAAACCCCATTTGTACCCCTATTTTTTTCTTTTTTTTTCTTTTTTTGCAATTACTTTCATATGTTCTTATTGAGTATTTGAACAACATGTTTTTTTTTTTTTAATTTTTTTTTGGCAAATTATACATGTGGTCCCTATAATTTTACTATTACTATATCAATTGTGTCCTTTAATTTTGTCCTTTAATTTTATGCATTGTGTCACTTGATAACATTTGTTTAAAAAAATTAGATAAATTTTAAGGGGAAAATGGTTTATTTAAAATGGATTGGATCATTTTAAATTAAAAAATAAAAATTAAAAAATCCCCCCAGTCAATTTGAGAAGAGAGTGAATAAACTATTTTGCCTTCTAATTTTTTGTTAACTTTTAAAGAATTTTATCAATTGGACTAAATTGATACAATGTAACAATTTCAAAATATTACTGATATAATTAAAAATATAAAAAGAAAAAAAAAGACTAGATTATAGGTGTTATTTACTCTTTTTTACGATGATTTTGCCATTTGCACTTAAACTAAAAATTGTTGAGTATGACTTATAAGCTGATTTTTTTTACTTATTACGAAAAGACGCACATAAAAATGGAGAGGTAATTTGACCCAAATAAGCCAATAAGTCAATAACCCAATAAGTTGACTTTCTTTTTTTCTATGTACCCAAAAGAGGCCAATGTTGTGCTACAATCAGGGATCCAAATATTCTCTAAAACTTTTTTTTCTCCAACCATCATCCAGTACTTTATCTAAAAGTCACAACTCAACAGTGAGTCATTATAATATTTTGTAAGATATGAATCAAATACTAAATGATAACGGAAAGAAGAAAGTGTTCGGAGAATCCTCTTTAGCAGGATAGCTAGAGGTGATGTTGGTTGGACTATAATGGTTCCGGTTTAGAGCCGACCCATTTCATACTCTTAAAGCTGGGATCCCGTACATTTAATTGTTGTTTATGAGCTTTTTCATCTTGTTGGGAGTTGAGTTGAGTTGTTGGTTGTGTTTGAAACATGTTGAGAGTTAGTTTTTCAAAGAGTTGTTGTCTAGCTTTCTTCTTGTTTGCTCGAGCGGTGTTTTGGTCGCTCAAGCGGTCTTTAAGATCTCCCAGTATTTTTGCAAGTCTGCAAAACTTCTAGGAGTAGGGTGTCTTCGCTCGAACGATCCTTCTTGCATTGGAGCGATCTTTTACAGTCTGCAAAACTTTTGGGAGGCGGTCATTGTGCGCTCGAGCGGTGTTTTGGTCGCTCGAGCAGTGTCACTTATTGTGTTTGATGCTTGAGCGGTGGTTTGGTCGCTCGAGCGATCAGTGTGTATATCAGTTCAGAAAAAAAGGTTTTTGTCACTTTTTCACTTTCTCTCTCTCTCTCTAAAATACCTCTAACTCTAATTTCTTCATCTTCTCTATCTAGTTCTTGCTTAAAACCTCAAATACACCCCCACCCATTGATTTCTTCACCATAGTTCCTTGGAGAAAAAAGTAGAGCTCGTCGGAAGCTTCATTTTAATTGGAGTGGATCTCATTTCCAGTCTTGTCAAACTTCCACCCTTGATCTCTTCGTCTTCTACTTTTAAGATAGGGATTTCTTCAACCTTTTGTATGATTCTTAGTTTAGTTATTTGCTCTTTAAAAAGGTTTAGTGATTTGGAAATTTTGGATTAAATTTAGGGTTTGATTTTGAAATGTAAAAGAGGAATTTTTCAAATAAATTCTTGAAAAAGGGTTGTGGAAATGTGTATATTGTTGTGTTGGGTTGTGTTGGAAACTCCTTCCTTAAATGTGATTTTGAAAATAAAGGAAGTTTTGTTTGAAAAATCATTGATGTTGATTTATGATAGAAAATGAAATGATGTTGGATTTTGAAAAGATATGGAGAATGTATCTGTTGATGATGAGAGTGGAGTTGGATATTTATTATCGCTCTCATTTTAAAATTTATGAGATTTTATTTGTCGTTGAAAAATTATCTGTAGAGTTGAAATATCTATTTTAGGCTATTGGTGGAGGATAGCTTTGATTTTTTGTAAAAATTGCATGAGCATTAGTATACCGATCCCGTTTGATCCTTCTTTCATGTGTTTGCCACTTCAACTGGGCCGGTTGGGGATTGAGCTGCCCGGTCAGCTCGCGAGGGTCCAGGGGACAGCACTCCTTGGTGGGTCCGAGGGCAGCGCCCTAGCAGGATCGATGGGCAGCGCCCCCGAAGCAAAAATGCAAAGTGCATTCGAAGTTGCTTGTCCACTCGAGCGGGCGTTTATGTGCTTGACCGGAAAATGTTTGGTTTCAGAAATTTAACCTATCTGCAAAAGAACTGGGTTAGTGTATTTGACGCTCGAGCGGGCTTTCCATGCTCGAGCGGACCATGTTATACTAGTTCATGAATCTGATATTTCAAATCACTTTTTCAGTCCTCTCTCTCTAAAACTCTCCAGAATTCCAGATCGGGAGCTTCTCTCTCTAGAAGTCATCTTCTCTCTTTGATTTCTCCAAATCCATTGGGATTTAGACCTAAGTTCTTCACCAAAGTTGGTTATCATCTTGAGGGCTTCGTTGTGTGCAGTGAAGATCAAGTTTCGACACCGTTGATTTTAGGGGTTTCATCTCATTTCTTCTTCAAAACTTAAGGTACGGATTTTCTTAGAGTTATATATATATTTTTGCAAAATCTATATGATTTTCAAAATCATTTTTCGATAGCTTTGAAAATTGATTATTGATTCAAGAAGTTGAGTGATTTTGAAAGTGGGTTTGTCTCTTGTTCTTTTAAAATGATCTTATGGGTTTTGATCTTCATTGATTGAAGAAAATATGATTTTAGAAAATTTTCTTTCAAAATATTTGAGTTTTATGGTTTTGGTGAGAAAACTTAGAATTTGGGGATATTTTTAATGAAACTGAAAATCCATGAATGTTATTGTTATATTTATTTTGTGTGTCAAAATAAATGGATGTTTGGAAATTTTCTTATTTATATTTATATAAATGATGAATTTCAGGGAATACGAGAATTGTTGTTCATTTTGAAAATTATTGTTCAAAACATTGAAGTAGTCTTGAAATGATTGTTGTTAAGAATACTTGAGAAGAGGGAATTGTATTATTCATTGGATGATGAATTGGAATAAAAGTATTTATATTCATCTTGTGTTATTGGCATAACAATTCATTTGATTACGTTAAACTTTGAAAGTTGATTTGAAAACTTGCATTGAGAAACGAATATTGAGAACCAAGTTTTCATGAAATGGTTTTGGGGTAAATACGCTGGTAAGTCTTGATAGATGGTGTAGATGATATTGAATAAGTTGGCCTGAGAGTGCGGGGTGAAAGACCAAAAACCCGCGCGGATAGGTGTCGAGCTTTCCGGTTAATACCGATAAAAATGACAATTTAATAGTACTTGTATAGTCTACTTGTAGACACTGACCTGGAGATTACTAGAGTCGTATTTACCGCCCTTGAAATAAATTGTTAAGTTTTGAACAATTAAAATTGCATGACATCATTGAGCATGATGGTTTTCAAAATATGAAAATGTGATTTATCTTCAAAAAGGGGCATAGCATGGCATGTGCATTTCATCTCTTGAGACTTGTATAAAATGCATATATTTTGTTAAGGATTTCTTACTGGGCTTTATGTTTACCCTACGGAATTTTTGTGCAGGAAAAGATGTGGTGATGCCACCTAACTAAAGGCGAGAAAATATGTGTTGAGAATACGAGACTCTCATTTTGCTGTGACTCTGTGTGTAAACCAAGGCCTGTATGTGTGTGGGTTTGAATAACCGTTTTGTGTAACCAGGCTCAAGCCTTGGAAATTTGTAAACCCTTGGGAGTATTTATTTGTTTATTTACTTATTGTTAGATTAATGTATTGTTGTATGAAGAACTATTGTGTAAGCTTGGAGATTTATATTCGGTTTTCCTTGAAAGAGTCATGATTGTTGTATTATCATTTGGGCTAGAAATTTGGGGCGTTACAATTAGATTAAGTTAAAACTAATTTATTATACATCTTACTTCGAGCATTGTTTCATACTTGAACATTGAAAATGTATTGTTTTTGATAAAAATGAGTGTATACCTTGGTAAATCTACTTAGGGGGGTGTGGTTCTGATTTATATTATTGTCCTGTGTGTCCATGGTTAAAATCCATAAACCCACGCAGTTAGGTGCTGATCCTTCTGGTTAGTACCGGTAAAATGGCTTTGGTAATGCTTGTATAGCCTATTGCAGGCATGTACCTAGAGATTCCCAATATTTTGTATCTACTGCCCTATTTTTTGATATAAAAGTGTATTGTCATGAATTAAAATATAATAATGATAGCATTGCATTGTTTTGAGATGGAAAAGTATAATGTTTGGCAAATGACATGCATATGCATTCACCTTATGACTTCATTAAGTTTCATACATAGTGTTAAAGTATCTCTAGTAGGTTTTAGCTCACCTTATGTGGAAAACAACTTTCAAGTGCTGATGATATGCCTCTACCAAGGACTTAGCTTGGATGGACCACGCGGCCTCTAGCCACGCGGACTACAATAACGTGGACTTCGTTGCCATAGTTTTAATGGATGTTCACTAAAATTTTCTTCCAAAATTTTATAAATCTAATGTGATTCATCAATAGTTTAGATTATGGGAGTTAAATCACCATGCAGCACGGGCACAAACACTTTGTCACAAATACATTTATGTTGTTCTAACAAGAGAATATGAATTAAGACATTGTTTATGCTTAATGAAATGGTCTTTTCTTGTATTTGCATTGGAAGGTATTTATAGATAAAATTGTTTCCAAGAAGGAAATCTCCATGCATATATGGAAAACATAAAATTTTTGGTATAATGAACTTGCTATCATTTAACCAAATAGCTATATTTTTAGCTTTGA